ATCTCCGATAGTACCCGAGAAGTCCCAGAAGTTTCCGTACTTCACCGACTGTCTTCGGTTCGGCTTTCTTCAATGCTGTAATTGTTTCAGTCTTTTCTGGATCGATTCTGTATCCCTCGGATGAGACAATTTGTCCCAAATAGTTCACTTCCCTTTTGAAAAAATTACATTTTTCAGGTTTCAGCTTAACGCCGTTGGCACGTAATCGTTGTAGCACCTGACGAACATGCTCGACGTGTTCATCGAACGTTTTACTAAATAATTTATGATGATGTCATCCAAATACGGGATGCAAATGTCATCTTTAAGATCGTCTAGGCAGTGTTCCATAAATCTTTGAAACTCTCCCGGTGCGTTTCTCAGTCCGAAGGGGATTCGGACCCATTCGAATAGGCCCCACGGGGTGATAAAAGCTGTTTTGTGTCTGCTTTCTGGATGGATTTAACCTTGGTGGTACGCCTTTCCCTGATCTAGAACCGTAAACCACTTATTCCCACCAAGGCTCTCAAAAGTTTCTTGCACTCTTGGTAAAGGATGACGATCGGGTACTGTCTTCTTATTAAGTTGTCGGTAGTCCACACACAACCGCAGGGACCCATCTTTTTTTCTCACACACACTACTGGTGACGAATATGATGAAAGAGATTTTTTGTACAAATCCTCTATTTAGTAAGTCCTCGACATACTGTTTGACCTCTGGGTATAACGGTCTCGGTATAGACGTATAATTCTTCTGTACTGGAATAGAGTCTTTGAGATTCACATTTATTTGTAGACCTTTGGCGTCCCCAATTTTCCCTTCTCTTGAGAATGAGTCTTTTTCTTCTTGCAACATTTGTTGTACTCTTACCCTCTGCTTGTGTGTCAGTCCTTCCAGGTTCACGTTAGGCAAACCATCCGAGTTTGGGTTCTCCTTTTGTACTTTCTCAGTCCCAATGTTATTGACCTTGGCTTCTGTTCTCGTCTCACTACACTGAGACTTTTCTACATTGTTTTCAGTGTTCTCAATCCGAGTCACATCCATCGAATTTATTGATCTGACCATTTGAAGCGTTCCTAAGACAGTTCTCCTCTTTAATAGAATAGCGTGCTTGCTTGGATTGTTTACTTGAATGGCTACTCGTGCTCCTTTTGATATGACTGTTAATGTTTCCGATACCTCTAGCCCATCAGTCCAAGGGCACTCTGGATTCGGTTCAAATAACACAGGAACTCGCGTTTCCAAGGGCCCAACATCAACGTGGCAAGCTACTTTTATTGATTGACCTGGTTGGATTAATATATCTCGTTTAGTTGTTTTGACATTACACAAGTCACACAATCTGTCCGATTGAAGAAATGCCACTAGGGCTTCTATTTTAGCTCGTTCGATATCCACTAGGCTTGCACATAACGCATCCAGCAACGGGGTGTGGTCAGCATGATTAACTTCTGCGCTGTATTCTCTTGAGATTTCCTCAATTATATTATATCCCACGACTGGTAAATTTAGATCATCTTTACTCACTAGGAATGGCACCTTTAGTCCCACATTACTCTCTTTCCCCAGGAGCGAAAAATCAATCTCTGTCCAACCGTGATAAGCTAATGCCGTCCCATTTGCGGCTTTAAGTTCTAGTTCGTTGACACCAAGGAGTTTCGCTATTCGCTGAATATTTGCTTGGGGCAAGTGTTCCTGGAGCCAAGCCCTAGAAACCATTGACACCTGGGCGCCTGTGTCCCAGAGGGCGGTTGTCCCCATTCAATGCGCATTGTACAGTACACTTTCTTCCGACCAACCGTGTTACTACCGAACTTTCTCTCGGTGATAGGTGACATGCATAGACAATATCGTCAATCATGTTTTCTCTTAATCTTTGTTAATGCAGGTCCGCTAACTCTTTACATAATGTTTTGTGTTCATTCCAATGTTTTTGCTGACAAGATTGCGAACAATATCTGAAAAATTTACACTTGCCACAATGTTTAAACGAAGTATCTGTTTCATTCACTTTACAAAATGTACAAGAATGGGACAAACCAGTTTCCTGGGCTACTCCCCTTGCCTTGGTCGTAGCCGTTTCTCGTTTCCCTGATTCTTCTTGCACCCCCTTGAGAAGTGTTCACTTGACCCACACTTAAAGCAATGATCACATACCTGTTCGCCAGCCTGTTGACACGAGCCGCAAAGAACTTTCCGTCGTCTTTGTGGATTCCGTGATTGTCCCTTATCAACTTGCTCCTCACCTTCTTGTGACCGATTAAATGCTTCTTTCAGTGAAGCCAAATCAGATTGGACCGATTCCAGCGTTGATTCCAGCTTATCTTTCTCCCCACTTAATAGGTTTTCTTTGGTTTTGTAGTTTTTTTCTTAGTATAGACTGGATCTTCGCTTTCGTGTTGAGTGGTACACCCACGTTCCTGATTGGTCATAACTTGGTTAAGTTGAGCACTCTTCTTAGCCCCAGCCATCTTGTTGTGTCGCTCGGTTTCTGCAGACACCGCCTCATTAACTTTTTCCATTAATTCCTCATCATTGACCCACGGTTTTTCCAAAAGAGGGCGTAACTTGGCCCGTATTGATTCTTGCTGCATCCCCGTTTCTACAACATGCAAAAACAAGGACTGGACCAATGTTTTGTCATATTTGACCACACTATCATCTGCCTGAGAGGCAAAAATAACTTGTTGACGTAGATTCATAGCTCTTATTAAGAACTCTTGCGCTGACTCCTTTAGGCCTTGGCACAATGAAGCCAGTTCTTGATAAACTTCCGTACCAGATTTTTCTTTGAAATGCGCCGGTAAAATTTGCTTTAATCGGACCAATGACATATCATTCATCATTTCCAAATACGACCGTAACTTCAAACTTGGACTCACCGCTCTAATAACTGCTTCAACCACCACAGACTCCTTATAACCTGATTTAATCCCAGTCTCAATCTGTCTGGTGAGGCTCACAAATGACAAACTATCCTTTTCTTTATCTCCACCAATAACTCCAATAATTTTAAAGTCGCGCTTCAATGCTTTTACCAGATCAACATTTAGTTTATTAGCCAGATCTTTTGAGCCCTTCTCAGACTCAGTTTCCTTTGCTAATGCTCCATTCTCATTCCCCTGAGTGTTCTCCTCCGCTTCATCTGGTATCTCTAGTTGGGGTGGTTCCGGTGTCACCAACGCAAGATAGCCTGTAAGTAGTGCTCTCTTGTCCTCCGCTTCTGTTAGATTTGTCTCAATTTTCTGACGAACTCCCTTCGACAACTGGATTCGTCTTAGTCCCTCGGTATTGGCTTCTACGTGTTGGGCAAATTCCGTTAGTGCTTCCATTGTAAGTCCACAAACTTCCGACTCTAGTTGCAACTGTAATGCTTCAATTTCCTCATCAACGGCCGCCATCGTGAAGTGTAAAAGACTAACCACAGATACACACTGAAACAGTCCCTTAACGCGTAAGCCGATTCATATTGTTCACTTCGACAAGTAATGCGCCTTCATTAAGTCATAAAACCCGTATTTTTTTATATTATGAACGTCAGAATATGACTTGTACTCACGCGCACGCCTCGACCGAATATGTCCACGTCTTTGCCCACTATTTTCAACGTTAAAATGTCTTTTAGAGCAGTCCTGGCAGGATCGCCAAAATGTTACCAGTGCCCCACTTAACAATAGCACCAGTAGAATAAATTTGAACTCGTTTATTGAAAGATTACAGTGTTTAAAACACACAAATGTTTAAAACGAAACCATAACGTTTGGCTCTCTCAAAACAACGTGTCTTCCCATCGTCACGTGACCACTCTTACGCGACAAAACTAACTAGGGAGGAAGGGGTGCTTCCTGCAAATGTCTATACCCCTCACATATGTCTTGCTCAACTGAGGCTATAATTAAGATTTCTTTCTTCGGTATTTCATTTGGGGTGCTTACGTAGTTCAATCTTTTTCTTAGCAAGCTGATTTCATCCTCGTTTAATTTCCTTCCCGACAGGTTTACAATCCATTTCTTTTGAATTTGACAGGAGTCATCGTTACGTGTTAGTTGAAGGAACTTTGCTAGGTGTATTTCCTTTGTAATGCTTTGCAGATGATAGCATCGACTCGCTATTGCCTGATGTAGACTCAATAAACCTGCGTCTTCAACAATATCTTGTAACGTCTCCTAGCGTTAAGGAATCTTTATTTAGATTTTTAAGTATGCGGTGGCAATTGCTTATGAGGACGCGAAGATATGCCCACCCACTTTTTCTGGCGATGCCCCATGCTTTATAGGATGATTTATTGGTGGCCTTGACATCAGGAATCGTGGCAGTTGACCTTAGTTTTTGACGTACTTTCGATAGTGAGATTCGTTCTAGTCGTCTCAATTGGTGTAATATATCTGCATTGTAATTCATTTTTATATATCTATATATGCTGTTCAGGAAACCAGCCTGAATTATTTCTTTATTATAATATTAAAAAAATGTCTGGGTTTCTTTTAAATGGAGGACTATTTAGATCTACACGCCGGTTTAGAAGACGTTTTGACTGAATTCCACTACCGCCTTGTGAAATTTTACTAGCGTTGACTGTTAAGTGAACGAAGTTGTTAGCAAAATTTCCTCCAACCAGAAATCGGTTGAAAATTACAGCGTAAAATCAGATGATATTACTGTATTGTGCATTTTCTGCTTACGAGAATCAATTATTATAGTGATGAACTTACCGTGACTCAACTCTATCATTGACATTGCATGTAATTATATAATATACATTATATATATATTATATATATTATATTATATATATATATTATATATATTATATTATATATATATAAATATATATTATATATATATATATATATATATATATAATTATATATATATATATATATATATATATGCCTAGATTTATACCTAAACCAATTGAGCGGCATACTGCTTTTCCCACTTCATCACTTGCGATGTTCTATCTTTTTTAACGTGCAAAATGGAGTGAAAATCGACCATTTTCTGCGTCCTTTATATTTAGGAAAAACTGCTGGTCTTCTTGGGTTTTGGAACGATGACAAAGATCAGGAATTTCTATTGCCTAATGGCAGTTTCATTGATACAAATTCTAGTTATCGAAGAATTCACAATGAATTTGGCCAGAAATGTAAGTTCTTATTCCTGAAGTCGTAGTTTTCTCGTATCTTTTTCCTGTTAGTTGAATCAAATGACATGTAATATATTATTTGAGTAAAGCTTTGAAAATCAGCTCTACATTCTCCGTGAGTTATCAGAATCCGAAAAGGAATCGATTTATTCCATGTCTTTTTTCACATTAGTCAGTGGCTGCTTTCAGCTCACCATAATATATCCCAAATACCTGTGACAGTACGTACTGTTAAACAATTAAATTACCAAAGTAATTTCATCACATATGAAAGAAACATTTATAATACCTAAATATTTTTCCAATTCATATCTATATACAGGGATGGTGGATAGGAACCAGACTATTTTTACGTATCATGTCGGAAAGAGTTACGACAGTTTTACAAATTCCAGCTTCATACCGGTCTTTCTTGATGAGACAAACTCGTTGTTTACCAGTCCTGCTTTGGAACAAGACGCAAGGAGTGTTTGCGGCGAAAATGAGGAATGTTTGTTCGATATTGCTGTAACAGGTAAAAGAGATGTTGGTGAGGCGACGTTGCAATCCTTTAATGAAATACAGAAAAGAGCAAATGCGTCAAAACTTGGTGAGAAAATTAATATGAACTAGTCTTCAACTAACATTCTTAATTTCAGCCAATATAATTTTAGATTATTAATTTTTAATCGCCATGCTACACGGTAGAATTTTTCTTGCGACTTAATTGCTATAAGTAGCGCCCATAGACCACTTACGAAACTTAGTAACCGCGCGTTCGTGCAACATGGTAACGAGGCTCATGATGAAAAAAAAATTGTATTTTTTGCAGTACAAAGCTTTTCGGCGTTTTATGTCCCAGTTTTCGTCTTTGGTTTACATATTTTTCGATACCTTTATGCTTGGTTTCATCAGTGTGATCATAATTATCAGGTTAGGAAATTTTGGCTTTCAATATTTTCGGCTGCTTTCGCGAGGGAAATACGGAAAAGCCCGACACAAACTCAGCTAAAAATTAGTTTTTTCCAAACTATTTCGTCTCAAGTTTTGAAAACGTATTTCATTTTTCTTGCTCTTATTTGTGCAAAAGCGATATATATTTGGTGCATAATTTATGTTTTTTTGACCAAAATTTTCATCGCCGCCGCATTGCTTGGATTGTTCTCCTGATGTGATTTATTGCTACTTAATATGCATATGCGGGTAGTTTATTCAGAAGCAAAATTCTCCAATTAAGTCCCAAAGGGAGATAATTTTCAATGGTTTTAGTGCCAACTCTCAGAGGTGAAAATATGCGATTTTGACTAACACTTTTTATCAGCCTCCTATTTGCTCATTTTCTCACCATTTGGTATTAAAAACATGTTATTCGATAGTTAAAAGCCTAACCATTCCAAATGTGAAAAAATTTCGTTAATAAAATAAGTAGTTACGTTAATAGAATAAGTAGCACGTACAATATTAATAGTGCACCAAAGTTGGATTACCTTTTTTTTATACACCGGCCCTGTAATATAATATTGTGGGAAAAGGAATATTAAATGCAAATTCAAATTAAAGAATGATATGATGTTTTGGTTATGAGTATTTTACTATCCATGTCATGTTTGTGTGCCAAATTGAAGGGTTGTTTTCCTTTTCAGTCGGCATCACATCACATGTACTGTAGTCTATATATATATATATATATATATATATATATATATATATATATATATATATATATATATATATATATATATATATATACACAGGGAAAATAAAATAAATTTCCAAAGGTTTGGAAAAAACTAAATTTTTACCTGGGTTTGTGTCGGAAGCAGCCGAAAGATTTATGAAAACATCGCCAAAACACCTTAATTGACACACCAGACGAAAGCAGCCGAAAGATTAATAAAAACATCACAAAAACGCCTTAATTGAAAGGGAAAACTCCCTAACATCTTTAACAAATGCGCATGCTCAGAGTGTTATTTGCACGCCGTTTACAGCAGGTAAATTAACGAATAAAAATTGAGAATACGGTAAAGTGTATGTTGAATACACATTAATTACGCTTTCTCTTCGCATTGCACTGGCATCGGAAAAGAATAGGTTCCATTCCTACCGGAGGACCGATAGTTGATTCATTTTCCCATCAATTGGTGTGAAATCAAACTTGTGATTACAAAGATTTTGTAATCACGCGTTTGATTTTACACAAAATTGAACTTCACTCAGTGCAATTTCCATTATTTATTAATTGCTGTTTAACAGAATAACGCGGTCAGCAAGTTCAGGGGCAGGTTGCTCGAAAGGCGTTTAGCTTAACGAGGGATAAGCCAATGACAATTAGTCTATTTACATCGAAATATTTCAGCTCAGTTGTTCAATAAATTAATAGATATATGGGTTTTCTGTTTTTAACTTATCCACGGTTTCAGCTAAACGCTTTCGAAAAACCGGCCCGAAAAGCTTACATCTGACCGGCCTGTCATCATGCGAAGTATTGCATTGTATTATTTTCCTCGGTAATAAGACAAAAATGTGATATTTTGCAGTTGCCAAGCGTATTTTCTTTGGTTGTGATGGGGTCGAGAACAGTGGAAAAAAAGTAGATTTTTGTGGTGATTGTGATGGCGACAACTCCTCGTGCACAGATTGTGAAGGTCGCATCAGACCTGGATTTCTCAAGAATGAAACATGTGGTGGGTTTCTTCGGCCATTAATAATATTTGGGTTAATTGAAGCTAAAATATATACACATAATTTGATGAGCAAAAGGTTTGTGAGATGTTATTAGCTATCTATGCATGTGATAAGCCCTCATTACTTTTCAAATAGGTTCCTATCTGCCATGGAGCGAATGGCTCCTAATTCCGTTAATAGGATAATAATGTAGACAAACGACAGTTCGTGTAGCGACTTTTTTGAGGATATAATTATGCCAACTACGAGGTACTCTAGTGAGTCGATCTCATAACAAGCCAGCTGTTTAAATGCTAAACATGAAAATGCTAAGCATGCAACCCATATTGGTAAACAAAAAAAATGTAATGGCAATACGACTATCAACGCGTGTTTTCGCGTGCTGATAATTAAAAAAAGGCTGCGCTATCTATTTTTTTCGTACGAAATTGGTGATTTTCATTGGCTAAGATCATAAGGTCACAATGTATACGATATCTTCAGCAATCTTTGCGAAAGTTAAATAATTTTAACTTTCGGAACCATTGCGGAACGTATCGTGTTAAGGTTGCGCTGCCGCGCAGGCAGGTAGATTATGACACGCAGCAAACGTTTTGTGTCTGGCTGCGAATGCGATGAATTTTTTCCTGTTGCGATTTTGTTTGCTCTGTTTATATATTTTGGAAAATACATAGCCGCAAAATGACTGTCACTTGTGCCCTAATTATTACATATCTCATTCCTTCGAACTAGGATCCTATCTGCCCTGGAGCGAATGGAGTGTTTGCATCGGGGAGGATGAAAAGGGAATGAGAGAACGAAATCGAACATGTTCAAAAGAAGGTCATTGTTTGCATTTGGGTGAAAATACACAACAAGAAGAATGTAAGGCCGATTTGAATGACGGTAGGCACCTATATAATGATAACGTGTACCGTATTTATGCTTATGGACATTTCCTACATATACCAGTACATAGCCGCCTTCAACTTTTAGCATAGTTAAATAAGCGTGGACTTCTAACTCGCCAACTGTTTGCGGCCTCGTATGCTTGAATTCCTTAATGGGACTAATAAGTGATAGGTATTGATGAAATAAATCATTATTAACCTAAACCTACTAATTGTAAAATTTGACCGAAGTGTTTGAAAATGGTTACTACATTGACCCTGAGGTCGGCAAACAGTGCCAGGACAGATATCTGCGATTGCGATAAGTAATTCCGTTAATAGGATAATAATTTAGACAAACAACAGTTCGTGTATAGCGACTTTTTTTGGGGATATAATTAAGCCAACAACGAGGTCCTTTAGTCAGTCAGCCAATCTCATATCAAGCCAGCTGTTTAAATGCTAATCATGAAAATGCCAAGCATGCAATCCATATTGCTAAACAAAAATAATTTAATGGTTATACACCAATCATGCAACGCGTGTTTTTCGCGAGCTTATAATTAAAAAGCTTGCGCTCTCTATATTGTTCGTACGAAATTGGCGATTTTCATTGGCTGAGATCATAAGGTCACAATGTAATACGATATCTTCAGCAATCTTTGCAAAAGTTAAAATTATATAACTTTCGGTAAACATTGCGGAACGTATGGAGTTACAGTTGCGTTGCCGCGCGGGATATAACACACAGCCGTTGCCGCGCGGGATATAACACACAATGATTACTTCGTTAATATTGGTCCCTCCATTGCACTCAGGGTGGAAGAAGACCACCATACCTCCGCTGATGTAATAGATCAAGATGATGTAAAAAGCAACACAATCTTTCACTTCTCTGATATAACCGTTCATCAAGAAGGACCATGCAGTTTGGTATTCGTGAAAATGAATTGAACTGGTTTACCTCCTACAATACACTGCATGAAAAGCGCCGTATTCCAAGGTATTCACATGTGGATACGGGTGTGAATAAAACACATATTGCAAGCGTATTCCGACATGGAATATTAGTGTGAATACGGCATCGTATTCTTCAGTATTCTAAGTGTGAATACGCCGTGAATATGCCGCGTATTCTGACCAATATTCACACTTGGAATATCTCACTTCTCACTTAATCCGTGTTTCCACAAAATAAATTCATCAGCTGACATTTTTAAACTTTATTTTGAATGCTGAAAAATTGAAGTGGAATTTTATAAATAATTTGGCGCAAAAACCAAAAAGCGCGCTTTCGAGTTTAATAAACATTGAACGAGGAGATCGTGCGTTTGTGGCTGTAAGAAATCTTTTTGGCGCTTATAAATAAGGGAAGAGAGTGAAGGATGCCAAGGGCTTGGTAAAGTCTGGAAGCTCTGGTCGCAGTTAAAGAGCATGCCGGCGAGTATTTGTATGCTACGATTCCCACGAAGTCTGATGAAGAAAATGCGCGAAATAGAAATGAGATTGCATGGCGCGATTTCCACAGCACCTTATGTTCGCTAATACGTGTAAAATGATAACGAATATTAACCGTATTTCAAGGATTTTTTATTGTTCAAAACCGAAAACGCATATACTGTTTGTGCGTAAGGGACCTCTTCGGTGAGTGACTAAATATCGTGCAGTTGAATTCAATAGCCGGCCTATAGACTATACCCTATGACCATGTTGGGAGTAATCTCAACATTTTATTAACAAATTACCTGGTGATAAGAGGTTAATGGGTTATGCGTTCGCAGCCTGTGCGAATGTTTAGGCATTTATTGTCCCTCAAGTCTGTCCATTAAGGAAATATCAATATGAACAAACATGCATAATCTTTAGGTTGCCATGTTAATTTGCATAGCAGTCATACACATTGCAATGGTAGGTTTATCCACAGTTAATGTGTTTTATCAAGGTTGATCAAATGCAATACTAAGATTTCAGTCAATTATTTAAATTTATACAGTCCTTAACAGATCATGTACATGTGATGGGTTACAACATTTCACATTTTATAAAATATTATTGGAACATCACAAATTGTTCAAAAATATGTAGCAAAAACACAGCCTATCATGAACTTCTACTAAGCTGTTATGATTTTCAATCTTTCATCAGCTGATTGTTAATTTATAAGCAATGTTGTTTTAGTATATATGAAACATTGCTCCTGGAGTATGTCAGAAATTATACTTAATAGTAAATTGTTGAGCAAAGCAAGTGATGTTTTTTCACTTGGTAAGATATTAAAAACTATAGGTGAGCAGATAATGAATCAGGAACTTCTTTCACTGGGTGAAAAATCCTCTTCATCTTTAGCAAAGTTAAGGCCAACTCTTTTGGGAATTTTCTCAATCTTGCAACCCCTGATGGCTAAAAACAATTAAAACCACCTTAAAGCAATTATTGAACAAAATACATAGCAAACTTTCTTAAGCTATAAGATTATTATCCGAAAGGTTAATGATAATGGTAAAAGCTGATGTTGCATGCATGGCCATTTGTTTTTATTGTTGTGCATAGAATTTATGCAGTGTAATGAAATTATAATATTCCTAGGAGAATGTATATGTACAATGTACACACCATTCATATAATTTGGAAGCTAATCAATTAGGGTAAAAATGGAAACAAATTCTTCCATGAACTTAAAGCTGTATATACACATAGCTACTCCTAGTATGCAAACATCGAGAAGCTGTAGTAAACTCATCTACACTTTAATGGTATATTCTTTAAGTATTGTGATTATAATTTATGTACGGAAAAGTAATTGCAAACAAATCAGTAAACAGTCTCAGTTATAAATTATGATGAGGGTAATGTTAAAAGGCTTCACTTAAAAACACAGTCTAGCATGAACTTCTAAGCTGTTAAGATTTCTGTCTTTGGGCAGCTGGTTGTTAAGATTCCTATCTTTTGGCAACCAGTTCAATAGCTATTCTGTGGTAAATATTAGTGTAAATATAATTCATATATGCTAAAAGGAAAAATATAGGCCATTATTTTGTTAAAAAATATGTATTATATAACTAAAAAACACAGTCTGGCTTTGGTTTCTAAGCTGTTAAGATTTCTGTCTTTGGGCAGCTGATTGTTAAGATTTCAATCTTTTGGCAATCAATCATTAGCTATTCTGTGACAATTATATAACAATATATATCTATAATATATAAATTTTGCCTAAAATATAAAAAACCCTCATGAAATGCACCAATGCACCTCATTTCAATGCATCTTGAAACGTCTATCTAAGGGTTATGTTATGTTAAAGTTATGATTACAGCAGCTTTCTGAATATTTGTGGTAGGTAAGAAAGTAATGTCCCTTTTCAGTATTGGCAAACTTTTAAATTTTGTTTGTATTGAGTATGGCTTTGAAATGGCAAACATTTGTACCTACTATAATTAGTGTGTGATGGAGGTAGGATTGATGAAAACCATCATACAATTTATTTATTTACAAGCAGGTACAGTTAGCTGTGTACAAATTAGCTACAATAAACACAATCGTAATCTATTTATATTAATAAAAACAAAAAAAGTGATGAGCCCAGCCGTAAAAGCGTTGGCCTCGCACTATTGTTGTTGTGTTGTGTTGTTTCAGGACTATAGTATGACATAACTCTTGTTATTAAAATAACTTACCTGATTTTAGCGCCGCCACAAGAATTATTTTGGGGCATCGCGAACATCTTTAACAATTCAAAGTTGAACAGCTTGAACTTCTGTTGAAACCACGCATTTATATATAAGCGCCCTGGTTGAAACCAATTGACATTTGTGCCATGTTATCGTTTTTTAAAGACATTTATTTGTTATTGTTATACGACCTCCGAATTTCGCCATTTATTCGCAATTTCGCCGCAATTCCTTGGCGCAAAAATTGTCACTAACATGTCGAAGAGGAAATTTCCCAAAGGAAATTTCCTACGATTTCCCAACACTGAACTGTATATATTACGGATGCTTTTGACGATACAGAATCATCAACTTTCTACCCATGTGTTTACGTATCCAAGCAAAAACAAAAGTATTTTTTTATATATAACTTCTTTTACACAGGTAATTAAAGAAATTGATGGATATTTCTCTTTTTATACAGCTTTTTTACGACTTACGAGGCTACTCAGCGCTCATCGACTGAGGATATACGATACTCGACATCCCTGCAGCAGCAAAAAAATTAATCAAATAAAAATCATCGTGCGTTTGGTAACATTTATTGTCTTTATTGTCTGTCGCCTAAACAAATCAAGTGCAATTTCAATTTGTGACCGTGATGAGAAGAAATGCTGGATAACAGTTGACACCGGCATTGAACTGAAACAACCTTTGCCTATTCCGTGGTAAAACGCATTTCCTGCAATATTTACACAATATAACTCGTTGATTATCCCGTATTCATGCGTACAATCGCATTTTCTATGCCGAAGTGTGAATACTAGGTCTTGAAAAATATTCACAGAGTATTCGAAGGTATTCTAGGTCAGAATACGCGGTGTGTTTTATTCACAGGTATTCACATCGGAATACCCCCAATATTCCGAGGATATTCACAGTGAATATCTGTGAATACGTGTGAATATGGACCATATTCGAACTCATATTCGCACGTATTCACCTGTGAATACGCGGTTTTTCATGCAGTGTAACATAATCGACAGCAATTAAGTTTGCTGTGTAAATGACTATATTTCAACTTCTAAATCGATAAAAAGTGGTGTGCCGCAGAGGTCCATTCTTGGTCCCTTGATGTTTTTGGACCAGGAACTGGTCCCCACACGCGGCTAATCTTGTTGTTGTTGTTGTTGTTGTTGTTGTTGTTGTTGTTGTTGTTTGTGTTGTTGTTGTTGTTGTTGTTGTTGTTGTTGTTGTTGTTGTGTTGTTGTTGTTGTTGTTGTGTGTTGTTGTGTTGTTGTTGTTGTTGTTGTTGTGTTGTTGTTGTTGTTGTTGTTGTGTGTTGTTGTGTGTTGTTGTTGTTGTTGTGTTGTTGTTGTGTTGTTGTTGTTGTTGTTGTTGTTGTTGTTGTTGTTGTTGTTGTTGTTGTTGTTGTTGTTGTTGTTGTTGTTGTTGTTGTTGTTGTTGTTGTTGTTGTTGTTGTTGTTGTTGTTGTTGTTGTTGTTGTTGTTGTTGTTGTCGTTGTTGTTGTTGTTGTTGTTGTTGTTAGGGGGTGACGCTCTTTAAAAAAGCCTAAGGCTCCGTCAATTCGCATCAGATCAAAATTAAACTTCGCACAACTATCCTTAGCGATATTCCCCATCGATTGACGGAGTTATAATTTTAATTTTTTTATTTTAAAGAAATTTAGAAGCAACTCAAAATTGTAGCGTAGTAATCCGTATAGATTATATTCAATATTAGTATGCATAACTGAAGCAAGTTCAAATGGCTAAGGCTCCGTCATTTCGCACCAGATCGTGATAAAACCTTACACAACTATGTTAAAGGTTATTTTCTATCGACTTACGGAGTTAAATTGTTTGTGCTTATATTCTTGAGAAGATTTGCAAGCCATGTCAGATTGTGGCAGGAGGCAAATTTTAATATTATCAATATTCATATACTATGAGTTCAAGCCAGAAGGTCGTGTATTTTCTTTGTTTTGTACACAATATATATTCATGACTATAGGACCATTGCGTTGAATGCGTTTCTCTCTGGGGCATTACTTATTTTTTATTTATTTGTTTAGGCTTTGTCCAGCATACATAAAAAAGGACTCTAATGACAGTGGCACGGTGCACGCAACGCTAGCTTCTCACCAGCCACAGCGGCATAGATTAGGACATAGATGTGCAACTGGGCACATTTTAAGTGTCTTTGCAGACGAGAAAATGTAGAAAAACGACAATTTTAACATAACCATTCGCAAGATTGCCTAGGTCCATAGATATTTGAAATCTCATCCTGGAGAGAAAGATTGAATCTAAACCACACCAGTTCCTGGTCCAATAGTACAATCGTACTTGTTATTATACATCATACATTTGCCACCGGCAATACTTAAAATCCACAACTCCGGTTTATAAGCGAATGACACACAGGTATTTGCCTAATCGGATAACTATGATGAACTGCATGGTGGAACTATTAAATTCTGATTTGAAAAATATTAGTATAAATGGCTCTCGGATAACAAACTTCAACATCATACAACAAAAACTGAACTAATGTTTATAGGCTCACGATAAAATAGGAAGTTAGGAAGTTCTTATTAATGCAATCAGTGGAAAGGTTGGTGATGGGATAGGAGTATTGAAATCAACAAAACTATTTGTTCCAAATCAAACTTTGCACACCATTTATAAAGCATTAATTCTGCAATATTTTGATTATTGCTCCCCTTTGTGGCATTATTGTGGCATCGTTCTAAAAGAAAAACAACAGAAATTCCAAAATAGAGCCGCGATGGTGTTGACGAGATAAAGTCATGATACCAGCTCCTCTGAGCTGCTTGATCGGCTTGATTGGAAAAATCTTGAAAACAGATTTACGTATAATAAGACGGTTCTAGCTGGTATACAACATTCTTAATAATGGCACCGCCCTTTGTCTTCGAGAATTCTTTTCTGCACGAAGCAGTAATGAAAATGACTATCACCTCAGGAGCTATGATACAGATCTCTCACTTCTAAAACCTAAGAAAGAATTTCTCAAAAGAAGCTTTAGATATAATGGAGCTGTATTGTGGAATAGTCTTTCTATTGAGGCTAAGTCTGCTCAATCGATATCTTGTTTCAAAAGACTCATTTAATTAGCTATTGTTGTAAATAATAGTTATCTTTGTTTTTGTGTTAATTCGTTAATTAGCTGTTCCATTTCTTTTTTGGATTATTTTGTTTTTACCTGTAAATAGTTAAATAGACGCCCGGCCGCGGTCCTCACAAAAATCAGCAATATAGCTGATGGGGTTAGCGTCTTAAAAGAAATTAAATACATACATACATACAGCTAACGTTTTGTGTTGGGCTGCCAATGCGATAAATTTAGTCCTGTTGCGATTTGTTCGCTCTGTATGTATATTTAGCAAAATACATAGCCGAAAAATGACTGTCACTTGTGCCCTGATTATTACATATCTTATTATTTTGAACTAGGTTACTATCTGCCCTGGAGCGAATGGAGTGTTTGCATCGGCAAAGGTGAAAAGGGAATGAGAGAGCGAAATCGAACATGTTCAAAAGAAGGACATTGTCAGCAATTGGGCCAAAATAAACAAGAAGAAAAATGCAAGACTGATGACGATGACGGTAGGCTCCTAACTGTTAAAGATGACGATTTATACTAAAAGAGTATACTAGAAACAATTTACCAATATATTATGAATTATTTCAACAATAACTCATAGATGTAGGCGTATTTCATTTTAGTGCAAAAATAAATTGACGTTAAACGACGCCCAGAGATACATATATTCCACCGGATTTCTCCCCGCTTTATCCATTCCGGACACCACGTATATTTCGCCTCTCCCCCGTCCCTCGAGCTAAAAACAAAACCTTAATAAGAAAACTATTTAGCCACTCGCTCCTTGCCTCGATCAATGCATACAAATTTTAACTTTTATGTATTTTTTTATTACAGACGACAAAAAAGCGTTAAAGCTCTATGCAGTTGCGATTGGTATTCCTGTTGCTGCTATACTTCTTACCATTGTAATCACTGCATTAGTATCATGCATGCGCTGCTATGTCAACAAAAAGTCATCTTCTGCTCCAGGCAATTCACATGTCTCTAATCATCAAAATAAGGCTTACATGATGTAGTTTAATGGGTTTTTTTTGTTATTTTTTTAAGTAGAGTAGCATGCACACTAATTATGTATAAGATAAGATATTTTCCCTTTTACGATTACTCTCTTTTGTTGATGTCTTGTATATATGAGAGATTAATAAATTTTCTAAAATTGAAACATATCAACGTACACCGAACTTGCACTTGTGGGCTGACCATGGCATAGAAAGACTTCTTTGTTGTGGATTACATATAACCAATAATTTTTTTAGATAAATAAATATTTAAAATCATAGATCTAGATCTTATAGGAATGTATAATGTATTCCCTTCCTATAATACAATTAAACACTATGTTATATCGCTTTTTTACCTGTTTTTGTTTCATAGGGCACACAACACAACCTATTCCTCGTTTTTCCAACGTGGTATAGACTATGGTTAAATTATGCTAATGCGAATATTAATGATAAATACCTAAGCGAGTATTATTAGTGCGTCCACGAGCTCAACGATTCCCAGCGCACGGCCCATACGTTCTGCTCAACACTACATTATCTTAACAGTTGTCGACAACAAAGTGTTAAATACTTTAGGAATTTAGTACCATGAGTAGTTAATTAGCAGCAACCAATGAGAAAGTAGATGACAAAATTATATAATCAGGTAGGAAACGTATAGTAAATTGATTTGCGAAGTGATAGCGAAGATTTAAGGACTTTGTCTATATTTTGAGTGAAAAATAATGTAAACTCAACAAATTTGTGAATAGTGTTGCGAGCGCATCGAAACAAACAGAATTTCCAACATTAGTCTATATAGTGTTGTGGATCCAATACATAATATCTGAAGAAAGTGTGGGGACGAAAAAACATGAAGATATAAAAAGTTGCGGATATAATGGTATTAGCACAAGCATTACAAAACTGGTAGCTAGAGAAATCTTTAAACCATTTTTTTAATTAACACACATTTTCAATCGAACATTTACGACTGGAATCATCTCAGAAAATCTAAAAATCGCATTCATTACACCAATTTTCAAGTCTAATGACGAAATGAAGTGACGAAATTACCGACCAATATAAGTTCTTGTTTGTTTAACAAAATTGTTAGAAAAATTTATGACTAATCGACTATCAAAATTTATTGATAAAAATAGAATTTTATCAAAACATCAATATGGATTTGGGAAACAGAGTTAAACAGAGCATGCATTAATTGACTTTATTGATAAAATTAATGATGCAATTGATGAAGATAAATACTCTCTTGGTATCACAATATTCTGATATATTATGGTATTAGGGGAGTGGCCAAAAAATGGTTTGAAAGTTATTTAAACAATAGAAAACAAATATTGAAATATAACTGATTTCAATCAGACGCCTGTTCTGGCGTTAACTCGGCCGGCGCACGTGCCAGTCTTTAATATAGAGCTTCTGAACATAAACAATACAGTTCATATTCGCATTTAGATGCCTTGCGAACCTAAATGTTCGATCGCGAAATTCAAAAGCACATTGTACTTTAAAAAATATAGAGGTGACCACATCATCTTGTTAAACAGCGAAATAGAAGCGATGTTATTAAAAAAGGACCAGAATCTAAATGTATTAAATATATTCTTACCCCAATTCAATCTAAACTTAATCGAACAGCATGAAAACAACGGCTTATTTGTTCCTCTTGGAGGAATTGCAGTATCATGCGAGCGAAATCGAATCGCGCATCGGAAAATTTGCCAAAGCTGTGCACCACAACTCTTGGCAGATAAGACTGGGACGTAGATAAATACGGTCACGTACACATTTGAAATACTATAGTCTGCGTTCTCTTAACCAAAAAATCGCTTAGAGAGTACCGTATCGAATAAGTAATGAAGTGCACCCGATTTATGTGGCTCTCTACTTTTTTGTTATTTTCTCTCCTCAAATTCATTACCAGAAATTTGGGACATTTTGCGTTCGTGGGCAGCGTCCGCCGTCCCTCTCATTTCCAACTCCGAACTTTGCATCGTCCAAAAGGAAAGTGGTGTATTTGACCAGATTGTAGAGCATGTTTACCGATATTACTATGGTTTATATAGCCGAATCATTCAAATTGGACTTGTATATAAATCGCACTCAGGAACCTAGAGGATTTGCTAGTGAGTGAATATTTTTTGTTATAACTCTTCCTTTCTGAGCGATTTACAGAATTCGAACTCCGAACTAAGAAAAAAACACACATAGGAAGCGTAATTTAAAGTTTTGTGATTAAGCCATATTGTTTCGCATGAAATTTGGCCACCATGTTTGTTTTTTTCCGAATGCAAGACGCCATCTTGTCCCAAATTTCTGGTAATGTCGTCATTTTGGTACAATATTTCAACTAGAGATGCGAGGAGCCGATTCGGGAACGGCACTGTGCTGTTGGAACGAGGTATTTGTCTTTGGACGATGTGGAATTGGCGAAAATATCGTGTCCTGGTCGGGGGCCGGGGCTTCCAGAGTTATTTAATGACAGCCAAGCGAATTATTCTTTGGCAAGAAAGCGTTGGATATTTGCTGGCTTTGGTGATGGATATATCCCCCTTTGCGAGTTTTAGAGACCACAGTGCTCTGGAGTATACGAAGTTACAATGCGATTTTTTTATTCTCGTGAGTTAAATCCTTTTGCCAAAAGAAGCTTCAATGGGTCTGGTTTACAAACGAGGGAATTGAAATTTGTATTTGACGATTTTGTGTTAAAAATTATGAAGGGATATAATAACGCAAAGAAACAAAAACTGTCGAAGAGCCGTTTTATGTATTATTCCAATACTACAGCTTCTAAACAAATATTGCTCATTTGCGCCGGAGATGTTGAACAAAATTGAGAAGGGAATTAATTCAGAAGGGAATGAATCAGACTATTTACAAGATTTTGCAAGAGAAATAGGCAGCGGATGAAATAATCTAAATGTAGCCCATATTAATATACGCAGCCTTAGGAACAAGTTAGACAAAGTAAAGGTTTTAATGCATGTATGCCGCTTAGACATCCTGGCGATCACAGAAATACACTTAAATCAAAAGATTTTAAATAAGCAACTCGAAATAGACAACTATAAAATTGTAAGAAGGGATAGAAACCCAGGAGCTGCTGATTGGGGGTGTCTTGTTTATATAAACCATCACATTTGCTCTTCGCGTCTTAAATCCCTAGAGGTCCTTGCAATTGAGATACAAGGAATTTGGTTAAAGATCTCGATAAATTCCACTATCTTTATAGTAGGAACTACCCTTACGAAAATGTTCTATAGAATCCTATAGAATAATGCTATAACATATTCTAAATCCCATAGAATATTCTATAGGACTTCTTATCCTATAGCATATTCCATTGCCATATTCTATAGAATTTAGAGATGCTATAGAATATTCTATTCCACATTCACATTAAATATCGAATAATATATTCTATAGAACATGCTGTACACAATATTCTATAGAATATATGTTATACAGAATGAGACCTTTATGCAATTTAAAATATAACATTTTTAGTACACTACTCATTGGTCGAGAATTATATTCGCATTTTTTGAAAGGTTCTCTCAACATACTTTTAAAGTCTTAAAGTTAAAATTCTCAGCAGAAATCATTCGTTTTGTAAACACAAATCACAAATATTTCACACACATGGCATATCTCAAATGTGTTTCATAATAATTATGCCCATTCGCAGGTTAAATGGCGGGCGTTTTGCCCAAACAATGCCGCAAGGTTATGTGGGACTTGTTTAACCGCCACGCATTATTTTCAAATTTTGAGCGCGTCTTTGTATGTAGTTTGTCATCGGTTGATTCAACGTTTTATAACTGATACTGGTAGAATTTAGTGCGTTTTTCTTTCGTATCTTAACATGAAATACGCATTCTTTAAATTTGTCAAAGAGGAATCATAGAAGGGTGGTGAAACGCGCTGTATTATACGAGAAAAATCAGAAGATATGGATAATTTTGTGAATGCCTGAAAGGTGACTATAGGATCGTGAGAAAGAAGTGCCATGGCAATGAGAAATTTCTAAAGTTAAGAAAATAATAAAAAGTTCATTGACCCATCTAAAACAACATGTATAGCTAAAGTATTGGAATTCAGGGGTGAGTGTGTTTTGTATATGCTATAAATGCTATATGTTTGTATAGGCAACATATGTTCTCTATACCATTATAATTAATCTTATAAATTTTTATTCACCTTTAGATTAAACTTTTTATTTGAACATTTTATTTACACCTTTTATTTATATACCACAAAAAATAGAGCCATTCCAACTAGCTCTAGATAGATTTTATATATCATTAAAAGTGGATTAAATATAATTGTTTACCTAATTGTGTATTTACTGTTAAAATTTACAGATTTCCTTTTGTCCAAACATCACACTAACCAAAGGTCAAAATGGAGCTCTATTCAAGCGAAATTAAATGTAAAAGATTTTGTTTATGCAATGCCGTGGATGCAAGAAAAACTTTGCTCTCATTCCATCACTGGAAAGGCTTCAATTGCCTAGCTAAATTCAAACAAAAGGATGCAAAACCAGAGCCAGAGAAAGTTAAAAGTATTTATTTTTTAACTCTGTAAATGAAGCAATCTGATTGGCTGAGAAGCGTTTCACAGCGGGCCGGAATTTTGCATCCGGCCCGCTGCAAAATGCATCCGGCCCGCTGCAAAATGCATCCGGCCCGCTGTGAAAAATGAAAGCAAAACGACAAAACCAAAGCAACGTACGGCTAAAATGTGTGAAAACCTTTCTGGAAAAGGCTAAATGAATGTTAAAAATAAAAAACATACCCGAAAAACTTCTTTTTTTTGGATTTTTTACGCCTTTTTTCGCTTGTCAATACGTTGTTTTTTTAATCGATTCGCCGTGATTTAGTTGCTATGGTAACAATATTTGCCATTTCATTGGCTGCTTCCCGACTAGGATATCCTTATAAGGAGTTGTTGACGTATTAAAATTCTAAAATGGCTTGCAGAATTTAAAATTTTTATAGTTTATTCATTAAATTTGTTGTATTTTTTGTGTTTTATAAAGTCAAAAAAGTCAAGGTTAAAAAATAAACACGTACGGCCTCGGGCCGTTTTCGAGACCTCCGGCACAGTTTTTTGCATCCGGACCTCGCAGCCGGTAAATAACATATATATATTATATGGCAAGCGCTTGTTTTGGTTAATTCTGCAATTTGATTGGCTGCTGACAGGTTCGGATTTCCCCGTATTGCCCACGGGCAATACGCAATTCTTATTGCCCTGTGAAAACAAGGCAAAACTCACGGCAAAAACTAACTAAATTTA